TGTTTATCTTCGTCATTTTTTAACAAGTGTGATATTCCTTATGTGCCTGAAAGATGGAGATGTGTATACTGTTGGAATAAGCATCCACATTGTGCAGAATGTGATTCACAGAGTGGACAGTGCACATTATGTGAACTTGGACAATACAATTTAGTAGATGGGAAGTGTGTTGAGAATGAAATAAAAAATGTGATTTTGACAAAAAGTGCACTCAATTGTTTAGAAAATGAAATCTATAATGTCGAAGGTGCTTCTTGTGTAAAAATCAAGATTTACGAATACAATAAAAGTTTAACAGAAGCTGCGAATTGTTCATATTCTATTCATAAATGTTACATTTGATTTTTACGGCACCTGAAAAAAATAAAAGATTGGGATGTTTATTGTGTAAAACTAGCTATGGTTTTGAATATTTAGAACACAAGAAATGTGTCAAAACAACCAATTTAGTTGACTCGAATGGATATATTATTCATTGTTAAGAAGGTTGTTTAATATGTACTAACTCTACTAATTGTTTATACTTATTGAGTATAAACAGTTATTTTTGTATGTATGTTCGTTATGTTTAAGTAGATACTGTCTAAAAGATGGGAAATGCCACTTACTCTCTGAGAGTAATTGCAATTCTTATATAATCACAAATACCACCGAATTGATATGTACAAGATGCAAAGAAGATTATGTTTTATTGGACACGAAATGTGTTGAAAAATCAGAAGAATTTTGTAGCGTTGTTGATTCATTCACATCACAGTGTATAGTCTGTAATACCGAATACACACTGAACGAATATAAAAGGTGTGTTGCAATTGATAAAAACGAGTGTATTCACTCATCTCGGTATAATTGCTTGCAATGTAAGAATTCCATTTCGTTGGTCAAAGACGAGAACGGAGATGAACAATGTTCAATTTCCGAGTCGAGTAGGTATTGCCTCGAAAATGGAGAAACGGGTTGTACCAAGTGTTATGAAGGGTACTTTGTTGATGGTAAAAAGTGTTCTTTGTGTGATCAAAAATGCAAACAGTGTTCCACAAGTGCTACAAGTTGTATCTCATGTAAGTTTGGGTATTACAACGACTCAAATGGTGATTGTGTCCCCGTTGGAGAACTTGCCAAAAAGTGCAAGACGTTCCTTCCGAATGGTGAAAAGTGTGCAGTCTGTAAAGATGGCTTTGTTGTTAAAAATGCCGACTGTATCAAATGTGCAGACAAATGTATGACATGTGCAAATAGTTCTTCGCAATGCATTCAATGCAACACCAAAGGTGGGTATTACGAAGACATTGAGTTCTCAACGGCTTATGAAAAAGAGTGTTTAGCCAGCACGAATCTCACCAATTGTATTACTCAAAGCGAAGTGGGATGTTTACTTTGCCAAAATGGATATTACACCAATGAATATAACAAATGCACAAAATGTGGAGACACCTGTGAACTGTGTTTAAGAGCAAATTTTTGTCAAAAATGTGTTGATAATTATGTATTACAAGCCAACACAGAACAGTGCATCTTGTGGTCCAATATAGAAAAGTGTGCTTCATATAACTCTTCAACAAGAAAGTGTTCAGAGTGTTCTGGGAGTCATACAGTGAGTGAGAATGGAGATGAATGTATTCCAGTTACAAACATTGTTGCAGTTGTTCTTCCGATAGTTTTTGTTGTGATATTCATTGTTCTCGTCGTTTTTACTTTAGCACTCATTGGGTTTTATTTCCGTAACAAGAAGCTTGAGAATAAGAGAAAGGAGTTGGTAAATGAAACTTTGATCTCAGACGCAAAGAGCCACAACATCACATTCTTCAGACTTGGTGATGAAGACTCTTCAGTGATTTCGTCAACAAGTAAAATTTATTATGAGTCTGAGATTCCAGTCAAAAAGCCGACATCTTTGGTCTTTTTGATTGGGAACGAAAAGAAGAGAAAATTGAAGTTCCAGTTCACAACAAGAGACCATGAAGGAAAATAAGAAGTCGACGTCAAACCACTATTAGTGACAATCAAAAAAGGACGAGCTGTTGAATTTACTGTTTCTGTCACTCCACGATGTACATGTGTGGCAGATTTTGATGTGATATTGACTGTTTTAGATATGCGAAAGGGGGAATCGACTGAAATCAAGATACCATGTTCCTTTGAGTCTGAAGCGTCAACTGCACTTGACCCAGACGAATTACACAAAGAAAATAAATTGGGTGAAGGTGGATTTGGTATAGTTTACAAAGGCACTTTAGACGATGTGTTGCATCAAGAATGAACAGATGAGTGAAGATACATGGAAGA